GATGGAGTCTGGGAGGCTGCTGATTCCAGGGCAGTTTGCAACGGTCATTAGTCTGAGGGATGAGGGCAGAGTGAGGGTGGAGGGCAGACCTTGCAGAGCCTTGCACGACTGCAGAGTCAACTTGCGGAGAGCCGTCAGCTGCCCAAGATTGTCCGGAAGATGTGTTAGAGGGAGAAAGTCGAGACTGAGGTGTTCAAGCTTGGAGAGATTACACAGGGCAGGCGGAAGGGAGGACAAGTGATGGCACTTGACTAGCATCAGCACCTTCAGTTCTCTGAGCCCGTCCAGATTACTCGGCAGTGCAGGGAGGTCACTGTCGAGAATGCGGAGGTGAGCCAGAGATGACAGAAGCCTCAGACTAGCATGGGCTCGAGCAGGGGTATCAGTTACAGCAGAAGGGGCTATGAGCTGTTCATCCAATCGGAGGTGGCGTAGCTCTAAGTGACGAAGGTGGCTGAGGGAGAGGAAGGACGCTGGGAGGCACTTGGCGTTCTGGAAGGTGTTGGAAATGGCGATGGTCGTGACAGAGAGCGGAAAGAGCGGAAGAGACGGGAATGAGCTCCATACTGCAAGCATGATTCTAGGACAGCCTTGGAGCGTGAAGTGCTCAAGCTTAAGCAGCATTTGCAGGCCTTCTGGGAGGATTTCCAGACGACGACAGCCAGAAATCTCCAATTTCTTAAGGCAGGGGAAAGGAGGATCACAATCTTCAGCAAGAGCAGCTGATGTGCATGCAGGTCCAGCCTGAAGGGCAAGGGCCTGCATGCGAGGGGTTAAGAACGAGGATAAGTAGGTCAGCTGGTCGCAATTCTTCACCTTGAGCACCTTAAGGCTGGACAGATTGCCCATCCCTACTGGTGGCGGATCATCGAGCGAATTGCATCCATCAATGACTAGCTCCTCCAGACGGGTGAGGAGAGTAAGCGACCGTGGCAGACTGCTCATCGAGCAAGACCCAAAGAGATCCATGCTATCATCCAGCCATTGGTTATCACAAAGCCCGTGCCTGTCGTAACACTTTTTTGTTCCAACCTTGAAAATCTCCAGGTTTGCCAGCTTCCCAAAACCCACTGGTAGCCTTCGAAAGCCGCAGTTGAACAGCTCTAGTCTACGCAGCTTCGGCAGATGCTCAAAACCCTGAGGGAGAGATTGGAGAGAGGTTCCCCCGTAGATTAGAAGCGTTTCGAGAGAAGAGAGGTTGGAAAAGGAGGAGGGGAGAACTCGTAGATTGTAGCACTGCAATAGAATCAGCTCCGCCAGCTTCCCCAGTTTCTTGAAAGAACTAGGCAGTCTATCAAGTCGGCTACAGGTCACTGTCAGCGAAACCAAACTTGAAAGCTGCCCGATGTCTTCGGGCAGCACATAAAGATCGCACTTGTTAAGAACGAGACGAGTGAGAGACTCCATGGCTGCTACTGACGGCGGAAATGCCCGAAGATTGTCACAGTCAACGATATTCAGCTCCTTGAGAGCAGCTAATTGGCCAAGGGAGTCGGGAACTCGAGTCAGCTCATCAAGAAATTCCAAATTCAGGTACTGGAGAGAAGAGATCTCACCCACGTTCTCTGGGACGGACCTAAGGCACACACAGCTTCTGACGGTGAGATGGTGAAGCGACCGGCTGGCACAAAGTGAGTCTGGCAGTTGATTGAGCCTCGAGCAGTTACTAATTAGCAAATTCTGCAAAGCTGGCAGCTGGCCGAACGATTCAGGAAAGGCAGTTAACGCATCGAGCCCTCCCAGGTGCAACCTTTCTAGGCTTGATAGCTCGTGAAAGTTTTCGGGCAGACTAGCGAGAAAGTAGCACTCTTTCAGAGATAGTTGAGAGAGGGCAGGAAGTTGACAGAAGGAGGCCGGCAGCTCATCTAGGCCATTCAAGGACGAAAGACTGAGGCGCTTGAGGTTTTGTAGCTGTCCAATATCAGAGGGTAGGTGTGTCAATGGGCGAATGCGGAGATCAAGATGCTCTAAGGAGGTGAGGCCGTGGAAAGAATCGGGTAGCGTTTCAAGCGAGTCTGAGAACAGTGTAAAGCTCTTCAGCAGTGACAAGCTGCAGAGTTCCGCTGGTAACTCGGTAATATCGCAACCTAGAGTCATGCTGAGCCTCGAGAGCTGCTGCAGGCAGCTGATGGAATCTGGAATCTCCCCGACTCCATCACGCAGCAGCAACGCCAGATTGACCAATCGCGTGCAGGAATTAAAGGTGTCGGCAATATGGGGGGACGAAATCGCTGAACAACCAGACGACACTGCTTCCCCGCCGCCTGTTTGCTGCTCGGACGAATCCAACCGTCGGTCGTACAGATGAACGGTGAGATGGGTCAAGGAGGAGCCACACCCGTCGCAGATGGATCGCACGAGGTGGCGATCGACGACGTCCGTCGCGAATTCGCCGAGGTGCAGATGGCGAAGATTGGCGAACCCCAAGGTAGGCGAGGACAGAAGGGACGCAAGAGTTTTCGCGGAGAAGAATCGGCGGCGAGGCACGATGATTGCGGGATGCACGGATCTGGCGACGCGCAGCCATCGCTTGCACACGAGAGCGTGGCGGAAGGATATTAACGACGAAGTCATGGCAGCAGGAGCCTCGGGCATGCCGAAGCAGGCGCTCTCGCTCGGAAGGGGCTCGTTCAAGGCAGTCTCAATCAACTTCTGCAAACTCTCCTCGTTGCTGACAGCTGAATTGCCACCGTCGAATCTGACGCGCTTCGACACAGCCAGGAGAAGAACGGGGCCGAGAAAATCGCCGGAAAAGCGGGAAAAGGGGTCGCTGCATGTTGGATCGAGCGTTTCAGCTTGAGCGGCCTCAAGATTCGCCGACGAGGCTGCGACACTGTCACGCTCCGCGCGGCTGGCCGAACTCGTCGCCATCACGACGGTGGCGTAGCGGTAGGAAATAGAGGTCGAGTAGTCGCAGCGGAAGAGAGCTAGGAGAAGATTCCGATGGAGAGAGCTGATCCGGAAATGTTAGGAGAAGAGATTAAGATAAAGATCCACGAAGATCGATTCAAGAGAGAATGATAGAAAGATGATACAAGAAGAATCTAGGAGGACTATACGACATTCCAGGAAGAAGAACGGCATGCGTAAGTAGCATCTCATCTTGGCATAGCGCCTCGATGATCTGCTGCGAGGATACGAATAGAGCGAAACATCCTAGGCTAGCAGCCGTTTCCATTCGGAGCTAGCTAGGGAGGTTCTCCCATCAAGCATCCCCATGCATGCCTGTATGGCGAATCCCCCAACCTGTTACCAGCGCCACCACCACCCAGGGTTGAGGAGGCGTTCCCACGATTTGAACGACAAGTGAGTCTGCCCACGCGACTCGTAATCTGGCGAGATGGTGTCCAAGGTGGGGTACTTCCCCACTTTGGACATCGTAGTGTGTTAAACCTCAATTTCGCAAATTCAGCTACAATCGACCTCCAATCACAGAGCAAATAAATGTTTCGCCAACTGTAGCGAGTGCCAGCATTTTTTCAAGTAGCTCTGTTTGTTAGAAAAAAGAGAGAGAGCAAGGAAATGGGAAAGGAAAGGAATAGGGAAAGTAAAGCCAAGAGAGACCCAAAAGCACGATACCCCAAGAAGACACCCTATCTAAAAGCCCCCTTCACCTACTCCCCCCCCCCCCCCCGACGCCCCTCAAAACGCCCCTCTGTTTGTTCGAGCGTAGAGATTACTCCTGCTTCTCTGCGTGGAGAGAGTTTCTTCTCGATTTTTGTGTCTCAGGTGTATTTTTGATACTCAGATTATGCCAGGCGTGGTTCGCGAACGTAATCAACCGACAATTTCTCGGTATAGGGACTACATTTATTGTTTCCTCTAGTTTTAATCACAATTCTAAAACAAAGTTGCCACCAGCACCTCAACCGCACGTACCAATAAAACAGGAAATATACTAAAACGCTTGGATATTAACCTTAAATGAGCCGTCAAGTGTTTGAACTATGCCTTCCGCTTGGATTATCTCAACGAACAAACGACACCGTTCAGCAGAGCTTGCTGTCCGCAGGCATTGATGCAAACTTTCTCTGGCATACTTTGAGTATCAATGATATTGGCCGTTTCAAGTAGCTCTGTTTGTTCGAGCGTAGAGATTACTCCTACTTCTCTGCGTGGAGAGAGTTTCTTCTCGATTTTTAAAACGCTTTCGCCCCAAAAGCGATTCGTTCCCCTGCCCTTCGAGTGCAATCCACACCGTGGTTTGTGGATGTAATCGTCAGACGTTCGATTGAGTAACCATGACGGATCTGACGATCCAGATTGTTTGAACGATGGTGTCCAGACCTGGAGCCGCAACCATTCAAATTTTACGACATTGGAAATTTGCGAGCCGTGTGGGCAAACTCACTTGTCGTCCAAACCCAGGAACGCTCTATGAGTTCGTCCGACCGTCAGCTGCACCCCGCAGAAGCACCGTAGCCCAAAAGCCGGATCAATGTTTCTGGCCTCCTAACTTGGCTAGGTAAGACCAGTTTCAGATCGGTCCAGTACGGCAGCATTCGAAATTCGCAATCCGTTCACCCCCTATCGAATCTCAAATTGCATGTACCTGCCGTGATCACGCTCAAATTAGGTTTTACGTGGAGCCGTTAGCTAAAGCCATGTCCCTTCTTCGTTACTCCGGAGTTAACCGACAGGAGGCAACCCACGTACCTTCCATTCGCCATAGCTCCACCAGTGTGGTAGACGAGTCGCCGATTGAACGGTTGTTAGACGACCTACTCGCGAAAATCCTCCACTTAGCTTCTGCGTCCGGCAGGTTCCAGCACGCGCTAGTGTGCAAGAAGTGGCGCGACGTGGCGTATCGCGTGCATGGAACCGTTCACCTCCGCGGCGACCGTCGCATGGACGCGCGCCGACTGCTCGCAGAGATCTCGTCTTTCCCGAGGCTAAAGAAACTCATCCTGCCGGATCAGAGTCTGAAATCCATTCCCGAAGATTTTCTCTCGACCTTGGGTGCCACGCATCCCGAGCTGATTAAGTTTCACTTTTACGCCATGTACGACAACGACGCACCCATTGAATTCTTCACCGAGGAAGGCCTTTCGCGGCTCTTCCAGGGATGCACGCGCCTCGAGGACCTCTATCTCGAGTCCCCGCCGGGTCTGCCCGCCATTCCCGCCACCATCAGCACCCTCGCGCCGCGCCTCGCTCACCTGCACCTCGAGGCGCACGTGCTCCGCCTCCCCGACGCCTTCACGAGCTTGCGCGCGCTGCGCACGTGCGTGCTCCACATGCCCGCCCTGCACGAGCTGCCTCCAGGCTTCGGCAGTCTGACTTGCCTCACGTCGTTGCAGCTGGATGAGTGTCAATCGCTCACTTCACTCCCCGAATCTTTTGGGGAGCTTGCGAAATTAAGCCGACTTACCGTCAGCGGCTGCAGGAGCTTCCGCCTGCCGGAGTGCTTTCCTGCGCTTCGATCGCTCAAAGAGTTTCAGATTACGTGTTGCGAGGCGCTCTCTGAACTGCCCGAAAAATTCGGGCAGCTGCCAGCACTGGAGAGCGTGGTTATGGAGGAGGTGAACGGGATCACAGGCCTTCCTGAATCCTTCGGGCAGCTGCAGCGGCTGCAGTCGCTTTCCATCAACGACCTCTCGTCTCTGCCCTCCTCCATGCCCGACCTATCATCACTCACATCACTCGACCTCAACGCGCCGGAGCTTTCGGTGCTGCCAGATGGCTTCGGGCGCTCTTCGAGTCTCCGGACGTTGAACCTACTCGCTGGCAGTTTCACACGCTTGCCTGACTCCTTACCTCTCGCCGCTACATTGCAGCAGCTCATTCTTCACAGTCTGCAGTCGCTAGCATCACTGCCCGAGGACTTGGGTAACCTCAGCAGCCTGCAGTGGCTCGATATTGTGGAATGCACCCGGCTGCAGCAGCTGCCCGCCTCGCTGTGCCTGCTCTCGTCCCTCACACGGCTGACAGTGAGTGGATGCCCTGCACTGGTGGTGCTACCACATGCCATGGGCGATGGGCTGCACAGTCTACAAGAGCTCACTCTCAACTGCAAGAGCCTCACCCACCTGCCGCCGTCCTTCTTCAGGCTGACCTCGCTTGAGCAGCTGAGCATCGTTCACCTGCCGTGCGTGAGAGGGCCCCTGCCAGACGCCTTGAGCCGCTTCACACGGCTGAGGGAGCTCTCTCTCGTTGCCATGCCGCGCCTCACCGCCCTCCCGGCGTCGCTGGCTGCCCTCGCCCCCACGCTCACCAGCCTGCGAGTGTCGTGCTGCAGCGAGCTGAGGGACGTGGCAGAGGAGCTCGCCCAGCTGTCCATGCTCCACACGCTCACACTCACGCGCTTGGATAGCTTGAAGTCGCTCCCGCGGTCGCTCGGCCAGTTAGCCATGCTTGAGAAGCTCACCATCACGGGTTTGAATAGCTTGACATCGCTCCCGCGATCCCTGATTGAGCTGCCTCGGCTGCGGGAAGTGGTGGTGGAGAATTGCTGCGAGTTGGGGAAGAGCACTTGTGATGTCTTGGTGGGCGGCAGTAGCGCCAGTATACGCAGCAGTGGTAGCAGCAGCAGCAGCAGTTGGGAGCAGTTTGCAGGGAAAACACTGCTACCGGCGCTGCAAAGGTTGTCCATCAAGGGTATTGCCTCTGAAGCACTCAATCCCTCCGTGGGCCACCTCTCGCCAGGAGATCAACCCAATGCAGTCATGCACGGTTGATGGGTGCCCTTTGGCCCTCTCTCGCCATGACATCAACCCAATTCTCGCGGATTCTTGAGAGGAGGTACACCGACGCTGCGGCGGCTGATTAAGGTGGGTGCAGACTAGTGAATGAAGGGAAGGCGTGTCGATAGGTGCAGTGGGAAAAAACAGCAAGGAAGAGGAGGTGGAACGGGTGGGTCATGTTAAGGAAGATAGTCACTTCGGAAGGAGAAGGGGAGAAAAAGGGACATAACGCTGAGGGGGGATGGGTGCAACTAACGGGGTTGAGAGAAGGACCTGGGAGGGAGGAGGAGAGGATGGGGCAGAGGCCATCAGTTGGAGGAAGAGGGACGGAGTGTAGCACGGAGGGGAAAGGCCAAACTAGCTGGTGTAGTGGCTGAGAGCTTTGGCCATAGTACTTTGCTGGGCCTGTTAACTCAAACTCTGCACTCACACCCCACGATGCCTCGCGGCACCTCCCCTTGTAGTCTGCTGCACTACCCATCCAGGCGCTACCCTGGCCAAATGCTATGCGCTCTGCTTTTGATGCGTACCAAGCCTGGTTTGATCCATGTATGGCACCTTAGAACAACATCTAAAGCGTGAGCATTGGCTGCTATGTTCTCCTTCTTCTTTGTGGGATGTCTCTAGAACTGTAAACCGGTGTCCCCTTTCCCTTGTGTCCTCTTCCCCGTTCTTCCGGTGCAGCTGCAATGGAGGGAATGAGGGGCCAGTGCAGGCCACATGGTGCTGAGGGATAGCAGCCATGCTACTGCAGAAGCCTCTTTCTCAGCACCGTCTATCCTGATTCTCCAACGTCCCTCCTCCGCCGCCTCTAGCTTTCAGCCACCTCCATTCTCTACGTTCCAACTCCTTCACTCGCGCTCTCACTCCACGGTGTGCCCTCCACCTCCTGATCCACAACTATTGCTGCGAATGTGGTTGCGGGCCGCAGCTGCTGGTGCCACTAATGACAAGGAAAGTGTTAATGGTGTAAGAATTGGGGATTCTAGTCGTGGGGTGGAGGAAGTAGCATCACAGCAGAAGTGATTCGAGATGAGGGATGGCCCAGCCTGCACTGGTAGCGGCTGGATGGTACTTGAAAGCCCAGGAGCAGGTACCGGTAAATATTCTTGAAGGCACATGAATTCAAACGTGACTGCAAACACTTCACTTGTGGAGTCGTTAATATTCGTACTGATATCCCTTACTACCGTAATTCATGGAGTTACAACGTCCGTGTTCCCGTATCAGGCTACTAGTAGGGGTAGGTGGTTGTCACTGTTCAACAGTTCATAACCTGCAATGTTTTGGTGAGTTGTAAGAAGTCAGTTTAGACTGTTGTCATATGCAACAGCACTTTCCGTCTAAGCATCCAGTGTCCAATATATTATATTCTTCTCCTACGGAGAGCGCCCTTCAGGTGGCTTAGGATGTGCTTGAGGTAAAATCTTACCACCTCTATGAAATCACACAAACAAGAAACAAACACGAGCGCATGTGCACACGATGACATCATTCATTTCTCCAGGGTGCCATGTTGTGTACAACCCAGAGACGGTCAACCATTGAAACACAATAAGGTTTCTGCTTTCTCTTCTCCATGCCCGTTACATCTCCATGGCATCTTCCCCATGCTGCACTCCACCACCTGCTTTCTTCTTCGCTTTCTTCTTCTTTTTCTTCTTCTTCTCCAAGGCTTGTTGGGCTTGCCTCGTTGCGAACTTGGTAGGGAGAGGGGGAGGGGCGACTGCCGAGGGAAGAGTGTTTGAGAGGTGCTGCTGAATGGCTTTGAAGGGGTTGGCTTTGAAGGCGGGGTGTGACAGCACTGCAGCCATTTGCTTGGTCTCTTCAACTCTGCACACAACAGGCAAGCATAAGCAGACGAGGGAAGAGTGTTTGAGAGGTGCTGCTGAATGGCTGTGAAGGGGTTGGCTTTGAAGGCGGGGTGTGACAGCACTGCAGCCATTTGCTTGGTCTCTTCAACTCTGCACACAACAGGTAAGCATAAGCAGTGAGAGACACAAAAACGCGATTAGAGTGAAGTGGTATCTGTAGTACACCAGATACTGAAATGAGCAGAACATATGAAACGCATACATATTCTTCTTGCATTGATATGAGTGTGCAAGGAGGGGAGGACGAAAGAATCGGCTTGCGTACGCTGGTCACTTATCAACGACAAGAGCAAGCACAGCACGCCATTCACACCCCACGCCACACTCACACGATCTTCCCGCGCTGCTTCGCTGACAGCCGCTTCTCCCCCTCCTTGCCCAGAGCCCACGGTCTTCCCTTCTTGCATCCGGCAGGGCGTCCCCCAGCGATGATGCAAGAGCAAGCAGAGCAAGCCATGCATGCACGACACACCACACGGCACACTCACACGATCTTCCCGCGCTGCTTCGCTGACAGCCGCTTCTCCCCCTCCTTGCCCAGAGCCAGTGCGTCCGGCAGGGCGTCCCCCAGCGATGATGCGAGTGTGTCCAGTGTGAGGCTGGTTGGCAAATTGGACACTGCTCCTTTCTTCTTCTTCTTAGATGCCTTCTTGGTCTGTTGGGGGGAAGGGGAGGGGGGCGGGGGGAACTACAGTGAGAGCCAGTGCATCTGGCAGGGCGTCCCCCAGCGATGATGCGAGTGTGTCCAACGTGAGGCTCGTTGTGAGGTTGGAGACTGCTCCTTTCTTCTTCTTCTTAGATGCCTTCTTGGTCTGTTGGGATTGGGACAGGCACACAGTGAGCGAGTGAGAGCACAGGAAAGGGGGTCCCCCAGCGATGATGCGAGGGTGTCGAGTGTGAGGCTCGTTGGGAGGCTCGTTGGGAGGCTCGTTGGGAGGCTGGGCACCGCTCCCTTCTATTGGAGGGAGTGGGGTCGACCACAGTGGGAGAGTGAGCATACTGGCTGGCAGGGTTTCCTACAGGGAGGGATGAAGCGAGGGTGTCTCAAGACGAGAGGCTGGAGCTTCCTCTTCTGAGAGCGGGGGGAGGGGGGGAGAGCATTGCGTGTGTGCTTCAGGGCGTGCGATTTGAAGGTGAGCACGTGAGAAGAATGCTTGCATGCTCACAACGGTGCTTGCATGCTCACACAATGCTTGCATACTCACACAATGCTTGCATGCTCACACAATGCTTGCATGCTCACACAATGCTTGCATGCTCACACAATGCTTGCATGCTCACACAATGCTTGCATGCTCACACAATGCTTGCATGCTCACACAATGCTTGCATGCTCACACAATGCTTGCATGCTCACACAATGCTTGCATGCTCACACAATGCTTGCATGCTCACACAATGCTTGCATGCTCACACAATGCTTGCATGCTCACACAATGCTTGCATGCTCACACAATGCTTGCATGCTCACACAATGCTTGCATGCTCACACAATGCTTGCATGCTCACACAATGCTTGCATGCTCACACAATGCTTGCATGCTCACACAATGCTTGCATGCTCACACAATGCTTGCATGCTCACACAATGCTTGCATGCTCACACAATGCTTGCATGCTCACACAATGCTTGCATGCTCACACAATGCTTGCATGCTCACAACGGCGCTTGCATGTGTAGACGCACCTTTGAGTCTCCCCTCGCAGCAGCAATGAGAGTCTGAGTTCGCCTCAAATCTGGCGAACAACATCAAAGAGGGAAGGAGAAACAAAGATGGCTAACTTTTTTTAACTGCCCGCAGAGTTTAGCAGCAGCAAAGAGAGTCTGCTGCGTTCGCCTCAAATCTGTCGCACAGCATTGGAGAGGGCAGGAGGGAGGAGAGGGATAATGAACAACGATACCAAACACGTACACTTGCTATAACCGCATGAACGATGAATCAATGACGCTAAAAGTACACAAACTACACATCATCCCTGCTATAGTCACACACACCCGCTACACTCACTGTCCATGAGCCTCGTCTGCTTGGCAGCCCTCTTCTGCACTCGCCTGCTCTCTGTCGCCTGCTGAACCCTGTCAGCAGAGGCCAGTCCCACATGGGAAAGGTTGGAGCGAAAAGAGAGAGACGAGGGGGGGAGTGGATGAGAAGTGAAGAGCCGCATCTGCTTGGTAGATCTCTTCTGCACTCGCCTGCTCTCCGTCGCCTGCTGTGCCCTGCCAGACGTTACCAGCAGTTCCAGTAGGATTGGGTTCGAGGACAAGAAAGGGTAAGCTGCTGGAACAGAAGAACATCGATTGAGACACGGAGGTGAGGAAGGAAACAGGGAAGGGGAGGTTGGGAAAAGGAGGGGGAGGGGGGTGGTGGGACGGGAAGAGTGACAGAAGCTAGTAGACAAAATCGATTTTTTTTAAGGAGAGCAAGGGGGGGGGGGGGGGGGGGGGGGGAAGGGCGTACCCTTCTTCTTCCGCCCCTTCATTGTCCGCCTCCCTCCCTTCCACAGGCGTTGATGCAAGCGCAGCCGACTTATTAGCAGCCTCAGCAGCTGAGCCCTGCTAATCACCACATATAAAAAAAAAACAGAAAGTCGGAGAGGGGAAGGATGGGGGGGGAAGAGGAGAGGGGGGGGGGTAGGGGGTAAGAGGGTGGTGGGTTGGGTGGGTTGGATGGGTTGGGTGGGTTGGGTGGGTTGGGTGGGTTGATCACATTGAGGTGGGTTGATCACATTGAGGTGGGTTGATCACATTGAGGTGCTAATTTGATTGAACATTCAATCATAAGAGTCTTCATCACACGTGCATGAACAAATTCTCGCCAGTTATATCACACGTTGACCACATATTACGAGATCACCGAGCTCACTTGTCAGCTACAAGGGGAAACCCTGTTGATTAAACTGTTACAAAACCTCATCGCAGCTATTTTACACCAGCTCATCTCGGCTCGCCTAACCGAAAAGCTACTCTCGTTTGCTCGTCCAACCAAGCCAGGCAGCATTGCTATAATACTGCTAGAACGAGAAGGAGCTTTAAGCGGTTGGTCAGGATCGGTGGGCGGCACACCTTGGCAGCATCTGCGGGCGCTGCAGCACGCTTGCTCGTCTTCTTCGCCATTCGCTGCAGAAGAAGCAGCAGCAGCGCCTGGCGGACAGTCGAAGCAGCACAAGTCGCTCAAGCTCAGGGCTGACAGGTGGGAAGGGCTAGACGACTGAGATGAGGTGATGATCAGGATGGACGGCCAAGATGAAATTCCCTTGCTGTGTGTGGGGAGCGGATTGACATGAGGATTGGAGGGAGTGGGGAGAGGGAGAGGGGATGGGGGGAGGTAGAAGAAAGGGGAGGAGCAGAGGGGAGTAGCGGAGGGAAGTGGGGGGGGCGAGGACAGGCGAGAGGAGGGAGCAAACTGGGGAAGCATGGGGGGAAGGAACGTACGAGTAATGATGTAACGAGGAAAGAACAGGAGTACGGAGAGTGCGGATGGGAGGAGTGGGGAGGGACGAGAAGCGAGAGGCGAGAGGCGAGAGGGGCGGGGCCTGGCGCAAATAGTGCGGATGGCGGGGGGTGTGACGCGCGGGGTGTGTGACGTGCCGGGGGGGGAGGGGGGAGAGGGGGGGCTTGACGAGGAGGGGGGTGTGACGAGCTGGGGAGTGACGGGCCAGGGAAAGAGAGTGGTGTGAGGCGCCTCAAAGCACGCACAGGAGCACGGGGCAGCGAGCGGGCGATGGGGAGAGAGATCGGGATCGCGAACAGGGGAGTGGAGGGTATAGGGGGGTGGTTGAGGGTAAGGGGGTAGAGAGACTGAGGGTTGCGGGGAGGGGGTTGAGGGTAGGGAGAGGGAACGAGATGGAGTACGCGTGTGCTGCGATGGATGCGACAAGGCACTGTAGCCGGCGAGAGAGACGCACGCGCGAACGGCAAAGGGTGAGGTACAGAGGGTATGGAGGGGCGACTGAGGCGAGGAAGGGCGAGGGCGAGGGGCGAAGGGCGAGGGGCGAGAAAGAGATCGATTTAAGTACGTAATTCCCCAAAAACGACGGGTCAAGACGGGCGCGACTGAATAAGCAGCGCGTGGCGCCAAGGGGAGGGCGCGGTTCGATCGACGATTGCACTACAGACGAAAGCGCCTATTCCAAGCCATCCGCACCTGGAAAGATTCGTTTCTTGGCTCGATGGCACAGCGAGAGCAGACACGCACGACCCTCAATCGGCGACGCGCACTTGAAGCGGGTAGGATCGGCTCGTTTGATTCTGAAAAGCTTCCGGTCGGCCTACCGCCTGACCACGAGTAGAAATACTGTAAATTGGATTTTGACTTGAGCTTTCGTGCTTGTGGTGATGGTCCTTTCCAACTCAGCTAGGTATCTATGGGCGCTTTACGGTAACATCATGGTGAAGTCAATATGGGAGAAGAGAGTGTGCAGACTTTTGTAACGCGTATACACTTTCCGTAACTATAGTCGTATAAACATGAGGCAGGGTTACCCCCAAACATAAGAACACGTGGATTTAATTGCATAGTGCAGCATTATATTCATATAATGTCCATACCTTTCCGTATAGTGCACCCTGACTGTGCCTCTTGACGGAGCGCGCTGTAGAGCAGATGTTATGAAGGGAGCAAACTCTGGTCTGGACTGGAGTCCGCAACAAGCTTGGGAAGCGTTCTGACTCAGGACCAGCTTTATCCCTCACACAAACCATAATTTGAAGCACAGCCGTCCGTCGTCCTAGCGGGCGCGCATTACATCTCAGGAGGAACCATCGTATCTGTCCGTCCCTACCGCAACTGGAGACTAGGGAGTTGTTGACCTAGATAGGGAGCTGCTTCCGTATCGTATCGTATCGTATCGTATCAAGGAGATCGTACCACGTGACATGACCTCCTTGACTTGTCTTCTCGGGAATTCCACCTCCGCGCATTCCGCCTTGCCCTTCCGCGGCCACTCCTCCCCGCTCGTCCTCCCGCTTCGCGCTCCCCCGCCCGCATTTTTCCCTCGTCGCTGGAAAACACTCCGAATTCGCGAACTCCGACTCTGCGAAGACAACCGAAGGGTGGTAACAGTAACAGCGTCGTTCGGGGGAAACCGGGGAGCAGGGGACGGGGGGAGCGTGCGGAGGGGTGACTGGCGCGGCGGGGATCATGCGCAGCGGCGGGAATGGCGCGGGGATCAGACAGAGCGGTACGAGGGAAGAGTCCGCGAAATGGGAGGGGAGAGAAGATGGGGGAGTGGGGAGGGGGAGGGGAGAGGGTAGAGGAGAGGTGAGAGGCCAGGGGATCGGCGGAGACCTGAGGGGAGGCGGAAGGGGAGGAACTGATGACGAGGAGCGGGAATCATGGCGCCCCGGAAGGGCGCGGCGGACTGAGGCCAGTCCATCGCGTTTGTTGGACACTTACTCCGTCCGCGATTTACGGAATTCAGGGGATTCACGCGGATCACGCTATTCACAGGATGAGGCTTCATCGCGTTTTCCCCTCGTCGCGCCGCCCTCCCGTCGGTAATCGAGCGAGCGCGGACGGCTGGGGGGACTACAGCGCGGCGGAACCCATCGGCGCAGCCTCGATGAGCACAGGGGGCCCAAGCGGAGGCCCGCGATCGGCTGGCGCGCGGGCGGCTGGCGGAGCAACAGGAGCCGCTGGCGGAACCGGCATCGGCGGAGCGGGGAGGGGCACAGCGCCGGGGAAGACTCCGCCGAAACACCCCTTGGCGCGGCGGCTGCGCGGGAAGAAAACCGAGGAAACCCTCGCAAAGGAGATAGGCGTGGTGATGGTGCAGCTGGGGAAGCTAGAGCCTGGGGGGGAGCGAAAGGTGCGGCACGTGCTGCGGAAATATGCCAAGTGCTTTGGCCCCGAGTGCGTTTTAGGCGCTCTGAACGAGCTCATGCGCCGGAACGACGTGGACCGTACGATCGAGGCGTTTGAGTGCATCCGAACCGCCCACTGGTTCGAGCCGGATCCGATGCTGTATGCGCGGATGATTGAGGTGCTGGCGCGGAACTCGCGGACTGACACTGCTGCTGCACTCTTCGCCTCCATGGATGGCGGCCCTGCTGTGCCCCTCACTGGGGAATGGCTATGCTGGTGGGCTCAGGGGGGGGTGGGGGAGCGGCTGGGAGGGGTGGTGTGAGGGAGGATGTGAGGAATGGTGTGAGGGGGAATAGTTGGGATTCTGGCAGTGATGACGATGATTTTAGTGGTGATGACGAGGATGGGTCGGACGATGAGCTGGCACGAAACCCAGGGTATGATGACGAGGATGAGGATGATCCGGATGGCGACCGGTGGGGCACGAGCAAGGGGCGGCGGAGGCGACTCAAGAAGAAAGCTGCTGCTGCTGGAGCAGCGCCAAAAGGTTCTTTAGCAGCAGCAGCGTCAAAAGGTTCTTTAGCAGCAGCAGCGCGAGGAGCAGGGGGAGGAAACCGAGTTGGAGGAGGATCAGGAGGGGCAGGAGGGGCCGAAGGAACAGCGGCAACAGCGTCGGCAGCAGCGTTGGCGCAGTTACCGCGGTTGAAGGCGTGTGTGCGCACGCCGTCGGTGTATGCAGCGATGATCGAGGCGTATGGGCGCCGCCACCAGGCCACGGCTGCCCTTGCGCTGCTGCACCAGATGAAGGCCACCCCCGGCTGTGCTCCAGATGCTGCGGCTTATGGGTGAGTCAGCTTCGAGAAGTTATGTTAGAATTCACAGGCCATGCCATGCCACTCCAAGCCATCCCATGCCATGCTGTGCCGTGCCGTGCTATCCCGTGCCTTGTCATGCCATGCCATGCCATGCCATGCTATGCCATGCTATGCCATGCTATGCCATGCCATGCATGTCATGCCACATCGCCATTCTGTGCCATGCCTTGTCGTGCCACGCCATGCCACGCCATGCCATGCCATCCGTTCCAGTGCCCCTCTGCTCCGAATTCCTCGCCTCAGGGTGGCAGTGAAAGCTCTCTGTCTGGTAGGCCACACAACAAAGGCCGCAGACCTTCTAGCGGACATGACGCACAGGGGCGTGCTGCCAGACTCCACGCCCTTTAACGCCCCCCCTCTTTCCCGCCCTCCCCCTGCTTCACCGCGCGTGCATATTCCAGGTCGGCAGTGAAGGCACTATGCCTGATAGGCCGCACCACGGAGGCAGAGGAATCTTCTAGCGGACATGGCGCACAGGGGCGTGCTGCCCGACGCCACTCCCCATGTTTGCTCCCCTCTTTACTCACCCCTGGTCGCAGGTCGGCAGTGAAGGCACTGTGCTTAGTGGGCCGCACCACGGAGGCAGAGGATCTTCTAGCGGACATGGCGCACAGGGGCGTGCTGCCCGACGCCACTCCCCATGTTGCTCCCCTCTTTACTCACCCCTGGTCGCAGGTCGGCAGTGAAGGCACTGTGCTTAGTGGGCCGCACCACGGAGGCAGAGGATCTTCTAGCGGACATGGCGCACAGGGGCGTGCTGCCCGACGCCACTACCCCATGTTGCTCCCCTCTTTACTCACCCCTGGTCGCAGGTCGGCAGTGAAGGCACTGTGCTTAGTGGGGCGCACCACGGAGGCAGAGGATCTTCTAGCGGACATGGCGCACAGGGGCGTGCTGCCCGACGCCACTCCCCATGTTGCTCCCCTCTTTACTCACCCCTGGTCGCAGGTCGGCAGTGAAGGCACTGTGCTTAGTGGGCCGCACCACGGAGGCAGAGGATCTTCTAGCGGACATGGCGCACAGGGGCGTGCTGCCCGACGCCACTCCCCATGTTGCTCCCCTCTTTACTCACCCCTGGTCGCAGGTCGGCAGTGAAGGCACTGTGCTTAGTGGGCCGCACCACGGAGGCAGAGGATCTTCTAGCGGACATGGCGCACAGGGGCGTGCTGCCCGACGCCACGCCCTTCAACGCCCTGATTGGACGCGTACGGGGGAGCGGGGCAGCTGCAAGCTGATGCGAGACAAGTTCTTTGAGCTCACCAGCGTGGGGTTGAGGCCCGAATGTGCGCACATTCAATGGACTCATCCGAGGTTTCGGCAGGTGAGGGGTGGTTGAGAGCGATTGATTGAGAGGGGATGTTGAGAGACACGTGTGTGTGGGCAGGCATAGGAGGGGGGGAGTGCGGGGCAGCTGCGACTGATGCGAGACAAGTTCTTTGAACTCACCAGCGTGGGGCTCAGACCAGACTGTGCGCATATTTAACGGGCTTATCAGGGGTTTGGCAGGTGTACATATGGGTTAAGAGAGGGGGGTGTGCTGTTGACGGGGGGCTGGTTAAGAAGGTAAGTTGCGGTACAACCGCGTGCGGGCAGCGGGGCAGCTGCAGTTGGTGTGTGTGAACTTGTTGCACAGCGGACAGCGGGGCGGTTGCGCAACAAGTTCTCCAGCAGAACAGCAGGGCAGCTGCAGTTGATGTGTGTGTGTGCAACAAGTTTGACGAGGTGACCAGCGTGTGGTTGAGGCCACAAGTGTGCACACTCACTGGGTTCATTAGAGGCTTCTTCAGCTGAGGGGGGGGGGCGAGAGTGGGGAGGATGGAGTGCGAGAGGTTGTGTACTGGCCGTGGTGGGCAAGCAGGTGGGGCGGGTGAGGGGTTGGGGCGGGTGGGTGCTGGTGGGTTGGGTGGGGCGGGTGGGACGGGTGGGTGCAGGTGCAGGGAATGTCTCTGTCATGTTCAATGGGCTCATCAGAGGCTTCGGCAGGTGGAAATTCGTGGGTGGGATGATGAAATGTGGGGCACTTTGGGGTTGGTGCTTTGGTGCTCCGTAAAGCAAGCGCAAGGCTGACCCTACTTCTGCCCCCTTCTCTCTCCCTCCCTCTCTCGCACACCCTGGGCGGGTCTGCTTTAGGAGATGCAAGCAGTGTTTGAGAACATGCAGATGGGGTACCGCACTGCACCCAACGCTCTCACACCTTTGGGGCTTGTGCCATACCGTGCCTCTCTTCCTACTGTGCTTCTCTCCCTCCTGTCCTTCTCTCCCTCCCTCTTTCCCACACAGAGCTGGCTTGTTATCAGAGATGGAGGCGGTGTTTGAGAACATGCAGATGGGGTATCGCACTGCACCCAACGTACATACCTTCCACGCCCTCATGGATGGCCTATGGCGCCCACGCCCTCACATCCCTGCACCGCCAAGACGACAGCATGCAGCAGCACGTGGTGCTTGAGCGGCAGGAGGAGGCTGGGGGAGCAGCAAGAGCTGCAGGGGATGCGGATCGAAGCAAGGCAGCGGGTGGCAAGGGAAGCACGAGCAGGGGCAGCAAGAGTGGGGGCAGCAAGAGTGGGGGCAGCAGGAGGAAAAGGTTGCAGGGTGGAGGAGGAGAGGTGGGGATGATGGAGGAGCGGAGGGGCAGCGCGGGGGGAGGCAGCGGAGTGCAGAGCGCAGGCGGGGTGTGTTTGAGCGCATGCAGCGCACGCTGCTGCATCCTGGTGAAGATGCGCTAACGCCTGCATGCCGAGTCGTTTGAAACTTGCCCCTCAAGTACCTCGCTCAGGTGAGTCTCGGTTTGCTCTAATACCTCGCTCAGGTGAGTCTCTGTTCCTCTAGTACCTCGCTCAGGTGAGACTCTGTTGCTCTGGTACCTGTGCTCAGGTGAGTCTCTGTTGCTCTGGTACCTGGCTCAGGTGTGTCTCTGTTGCTATGGTTTACTGGCTCAGGTGTGTCTCTGTTGGCTCTGGTACCTGACTCAGGTGTGTCTCCGTTGCCATGGTACCTGGCTCAGGTGTGTCTCTGTTGCCATGGTACCTGGCTGAGGTGTGTCTCTGTTGCCATGGTACTTGGCTCAGGTGTGTCTCCGTTGCCAATGGTACCTGGCTCGGTGTGTCTCTGTTGCCATGGTACCTGGCTCAGGTGTGTCTCTGTTGCCATGGTGCCTGGCTCAGGTGTGTCTCTGTTGCCATGGTACCTGCTCAGGTGTGTCTGGCTGAAATCACTTGCATTTCCTTGCCATTGTGTGCTTTCGATATTACCACGTCCGCCACTGCAGGGAAGCATGGTGGAGGAGATGAAAGAGGTGTTTTGGCAGATGAGGGCCAACCACCAACAGGGTGCGCCCCACAACCACCAACCACCAACACGGTGCGCCCCACAACCACCAACCACCAACAGGGTGCGCCCCACAACCACCAACCACCAACAGGGTGCGCCCCACAACCACCAACCACCAACAGGGTGCGCCCCACAACCACCAACCACCAACAGGGTGCGCCCCACAACCACCAACAGGGTGCGCCCCACAACCACCAACAGGGTGCGCCCCACAACCACCAACAGGGTGCGCCCCACAACCACCAACAGGGTGCGCCCCACAACCACCAACAGGGTGCGCCCCACAACCACCAACAGGGTGCGCCCCACAACCACCAACCACCAACAGGGTGCGCCCCACAACCACCAACCACCAACAGGGTGCGCCCCACAACCACCAACAGGGTGCGCCCACAACCACCAACAGGGTGCGCCCCACAACCACCAACAGGGTGCGCCCCACAACCACCAACAGGGTGCGCCCCACAACCACCAACAGGGTGCGCCCCACAACCACCAACAGGGTGCGCCCCACAACCACCAACAGGGTGCGCCCCACAACACCAAACAGGGTGCGCCCCACAACCACCAACAGGGTGCGCCCCACAACCACCAACAGGGTGCGCCCCACAACCACCAACAGGGTGCGCCCCACAACCACCAACAGGGTGCGCCCCACAACCACCAACAGGGTGCGCCCCACAACCACCAACAGGGTGCGCCCCACAACCACCAACAGGGTGCGCCCCACAACCACCAACAGGGTGCGCCCCACAACCACCAACAGGGTGCGCCCCACAACCACCAACAGGGTGCGCCCCACAACCACCAACAGGGTGCGCCCCACAACCACCAACAGGGTGCGCCCCACAACCACCAACAGGGTGCGCCCCACAACCACCAACAGGGTGCGCCCCACAACCACCAACAGGGTGCGCCCCACAACCACCAACAGGGTGCGCCCCACAACCACCAACAGGGTGCGCCCCACAACCACCAACAGGGTGCGCCCCACAACCACCAACAGGGTGCGCCCCACAACCACCAACAGGGTGCGCCCCACAACCACCAACAGGGTGCGCCCCACAACCACCAACAGGGTGCGCCCCACAACCACCAACAGGGTGCGCCCCACAACCACCAACAGGGTGCGCCCCACAACCACCAACAGGGTGCGCCCCACAACCACCAACAGGGTGCGCCCCACAACCACCAACAGGGTGCGCCCCACAACCACCAACAGGGTGCGCCCCACAACCACCAACAGGGTGCGCCCCACAACCACCAACAGGGTGCGCCCCACAACCACCAACAGGGTGCGCCCCACAACCACCAACAGGGTGCGCCCCACAACCACCAACAGGGTGCGCCCCACAACCACCAACAGGGTGCGCCCCACAACCACCAACAGGGTGCGCCCCACAACCACCAACAGGGTGCGCCCCACAACCACCAACAGGGTGCGCCCCACAACCACCAACAGGGTGCGCCCCACAACCACCAACAAGGTGCGCCCCACAACCACCAACAGGGTGCGCCCCACAACCACCAACAGGGTGCGCCCCACAACCACCAACCACCAACAGGGTGCGCCCCACAACCACCAACCACCAACAGGGTGCGCCCCACAACCACCAACCACCAACAGGGTGCGCCCCACAACCACCAACCACCAACAGGGTGCGCCCCACAACCACCAACCACCAACAGGGTGCGCCCCACAACCACCAACCACCAACAGGGTGCGCCCCAACCACCAACCACCAACAGGGTGCGCCCCACAACCACCAACAGGGTGCGCCCCACAACCACCAACAGGGTGCGCCCCACAACCACCAACAGGGTGCGCCCCACAACCACCAACAGGGTGCGCCCCACAACCACCAACAGGGTGCGCCCCACAACCACCAACAGGGTGCGCCCCACAACCACCAACAGGGTGCGCCCCACAACCACCAACAGGGTGCGCCCCACAACCACCAACAGGGTGCGCCCCACAACCACCAACAGGGTGCGCCCCACAACCACCAACAGGGTGCGCCCCACAACCACCAACAGGGTGCGCCCCACAACCACCAACAGGGTGCGCCCCACAACCACCAACAGGGTGCGCCCCACAACCACCAACAGGGTGCGCCCCACAACCACCAACAGGGTGCGCCCCACAACCACCAACAGGGTGCGCCCCACAACCACCAACAGGGTGCGCCCCACAACCACCAACAGGGTGCGCCCCACAACCACCAACAGGGTGCGCCCCACAACCACCAACAGGGTGCGCCCCACAACCACCAACAGGGTGCGCCCCACAACCACCAACAGGGTGCGCCCCACAACCACCAACAGGGTGCGCCCCACAACCACCAACAGGGTGCGCCCCACAACCACCAACAGGGTGCGCCCCACAACCACCAACAGGGTGCGCCCCACAACCACCAACAGGGTGCGCCCCACAACCACCAACAGGGTGCGCCCCACAACCACCAACAGGGTGCGCCCCACAACCACCAACAGGGTGCGCCCCACAACCACCACATCCACATGTGGCTCCTCTTCCAGCGCCTTCATGCTCCTCCTCCGTTTCCCTGCATCCACTAATGCAGGCGGGCGGGCATGGTGGCGGATTTGGAGAAGGTTTCGGCTCATGAGGGCCATAGGCATCTGTACCACAACCACCACCTTCCCTCTTACCTGGCCTCTCCCTTTTCCCCTCCATTTCCGTGAATACTTTCATTGCAAGCGCGCATGGTGGAGGAGATGGAGAAGGTGTTTCGGCTGATGAGGGCCATTTCATGAGATTGCTGATTGCCTTGCTGATCCCTCTTCCATCCCCCCCACCATCCTGCTCCTCCTCGTCCCATCACACGCACCAATGCAGGCGGGTATGGTGGAGGAGATGGAGAAGGTGTTTCGGCTGATGAGGGCAATCGGCGTGCGCCCCACAACCACCACCTTCACGCTTCTCGCTGATGCCTACAGCGCCGCCGGGCAGCCGAAACAAATCCTGCGCCTGCTCAAGCAGATGCAATCCATGCCCCTTGCTGCCCGAAAAGAAAACAACTCCACTCCCAACAGCGGCAGCAGCAGCAGCAGCAGCAGCAGCAGCAGCAGCAGCAGCAGTAGCAATGGTGGTGGTGATTCTTCCAGTGCACGCAGCAGGCTGCTTGCTGCAGCAGCGGTGGCGTTTGCCTCTGCAGTGGAGATCAAAGAGATGGAGTGGTGCCTGCTGCAGCTGCACCCTCTCAACACCACCCCTTCCTCCAGCCCCACTCCCTCCTCCACCTCCTCTCCCTCCTCCTCTCCCGCCTCCTCTCCCTCTTCCTCGTCCCGCTCCACCTCCTCAGCCTCATCCTTCCCCCCTGCCGCTCTGGCCGATCCCGCGCGGCTGCAAGCATGGGTGGGGGCGGGGGGCGGAGGCATGGGGGTGGTGTCGGCAGCAGTGGAGGCATACGCGCGGGCAGGCATGCTCTCCACATGGAGGCTCTGTTCTTGGGGGCTCAGACCTTGGGGATGGGTGCACGGGGGATGGGGGTCGGTGCACGGGGAATGGGAATGGGTGTGATGGGTGCACGGGGCATGGGGGTGAGTGTGGCAGGAGATGAGGGAGGTGTGGGAAGGATGGGGGCACGTGGCATGGCGGCAGGTGGCATGGGTGCGAGTGATTCAGATTGGGGGGGAGTTGCAGGGGAGGGCGTTGGTGGGAGGATGGGGGAAGTGGGGGTGCGTGGTGGGGGGATAGGGGGCAAGAAGTTTAGGGGGAGGGACGATGGGGGGAGAAACCATGGGGGGAAGGATGATGGGCGGGGGG